AAAAATCACTGAATAAACACTGGAATCGAAAGCTCTAAAAATCTAATTAAATAAATATTTAATAACTTTCTTTCTCTACACCTTTTTTTGTTAGCGATTGTTTAGTAATTTACACAAAAATTATGATAAAAGCAACAAATAAAATATTTTCATACGATTTGAGAAAATATTTTTTGACGCCCCTTTCAAACCATTCAATAACTTATTTAAAAAACTCATGTCTTACTAGTATTCAAACAAATCAATAACTCGTGTGAACTAACGCTAAGTTTTCGGAATTTTATTACTGATTGTTTTGTTTTAGAGAAATGTTTTCATTTGAATCAAGGACTTTGTAGTTTAGAAAACAGATTCAAGTATTAGGTTTAACACATGACTTGAATTCATTAACAAATTCTTCTTATAAATTAAATTTTTTCTTTGTGTGTCTTTTAATGTAATATATAATTACGTGAATACATCCGTCGAGTGAAAGCCCACTGTTTTAGCTTAATATAACTTTTAATATTTTTGGGTATTATAATGAATAATAGTTGTACAGGTATAATTATTATGAATTTGATTACAGATAATCTTTAAATCAAAAATTATTTATTGAAACGAAAGTTTACAGGTATGGGTTATAAATAGGGCAATGGCTTCACATAAATAATCAGTTCATTTATTAGATCTACTTATCTAAACAAAAATCAATAAAAACTTTTTGAAAGTCACTTTCGGCTGAAGTGTAATTGAGATGAAAAGAATTTTATAAAAAATAAATATCAAACTATTGCTAAATTCATTATATTCTGAGGTGAAATAACTTTATGTAACTAGTTAAATGTTAATACCATCTTACAGGCAAGTTTGTTTTACTTTACATGATTAGAGTAAAAGTAAGATTCAATTAAATTATTATTAATTGTTTTTAGTTAAGATTTTAACTGAAACATTAATGATTTTTATGAAACATTTAGTTGTTTGAATGTGTCAAGAATATCTTAAACTATCTTGAATGGGTGACATTATATTTTAATAGCACTGCAATTAATAATAAGATTGAATAATGTGACATCCAAAATTGTTCATAATTCAGAAAAATAAAAGTGAATTTTAATGGATTATATAAAACTAAAAAATAATTTTATTGTTATATTATTTGATAGCTTTATAATACTGTACGTTGTAATGTCATAATACAAAACGAGGACAATCTGTGTTCAACACGTGTTTTAATAAAATTTGTATACTTTTAATAAAATTAAGAAACAAATTGTTTTATAATTTGCCATAATGAAAACCACATCTTATGACCTTATTTTTGCAGTAATGTCTCACAGTATTCAGGGTTTGGGTCGTCATAAAAACCATTTCCACTTTTACTTATTGTCTCGAACTATAAAAAGGGAAAACAATAGCCTTTTGTATGAAAGTGGATTCAAATAATATACTCATTATTACCGTAGCAACAAATTTGCATGATTTTTGCATAATTATAGTTAATATAGTGACAGATAGACTAAATTGAAGTGCAGTAAAGAATAACTACACGACACTTATACTTACAATAAATTTAATCAATTTATACTTAAATTAAAAAAGTTTTTTGTTGAGTAAAATTTTCATCAATATTAAGGTTAGATTAACTTGAATTTAAAAATTATATTTTGCACTATATTATTTTGTAACATTCCTGGAGTTTAGAAGTAACAATTATTGACAACAACATTATCTAAAGTTATGAATTAAGCAACCTTGAACATTTCACCTCAATTCTACTATACATTGAAATATTTCATTTAGGTTTTAGTTTGTAAAATTAAAGCATACATTTGTTTCATATAATAAAACCAAAAATAAAGTAGATAAAGATGCGGACAAAAGTGCATACATTTTTGGAAATCATTGACAAATTGCGATTCTCTTCAGATTTTCACTTTTTATAGCATTTCATGTACTGTAATATAGCTATACCTGTAAACTCTATGGGAATGGATGGCCCTTTCGTTAAGACATGTTTGAGTGTATTTGCGTACAAGTGATGCAAAATTGTTGCCTTAAATTGAAGCACTAGCCAAGTGGTTGAGTGGCCTGAAGTGGTTTTCATTTTAAATGTAATACACTTTTAACAAGGTATTTAAAATAAAAGATAAATAAGAAGGTTATTTCACATCATCATTATTCATAACTTTTACAGCATTTTATTTTTTTGTATTTTTGGTTAGCTTTCAAGGATTATAACATTTAATGCAATTAAGTATTAATTCATTTCTTAAAATATCTTTATCTAAAGAGTTAAGATGTTCTTGGCTTACAAATTCAAAATAACTTATTATTATTAATAAGAATTACATACAGGTACAATCCATTTAAGACACAAACAACAAATTAATAATTAGTTTTAACTGAATGGATAGCATTTGCTATTTGTTTAATATTCTGGTCATTAATGGCTGCGATATTAATACGTCCGTCGGTTGCGATATAAACGGCAAACTCTTGTCTCAATTGAATGGACTGTTGTTCAGTAAATCCTGTGAAGCAATACATGCCTTTCTGTTGCAAAATAAAATCCCAGCTATACTTCCCATTAGATAATCGATTCAATTCTCGCACTAATTGTGACCTCATGTCTGATATTCTCATTTGCATATTCTTCACGTCATTAAACCACTCAGTCTTCAAGTGATGATCATTGAGCAGAAGTGTGACAAGTCTTGCGCCCCAATTGGGAGGATGTGAATAAATGGGACGAATTATTCGCTTCAATTGAGTCAATACATTATCGGCCTCTTGAGCTGAACGGCAGACAACACTTAAGGCTCCGATTCTCTCCCCATAGAGACCCATATTCTTAGCGAATGTCAACGCAATCATCACTTGATTCATACGCTCAGCGAATAGCTTAACGACTCGAGAGTCCTCCTCAACAGATCCCGAAGCGAATCCCTGATACGCGCAGTCGAGGAATGCAAATAAATTTCTCCTTTTCATTATATCTATCATTTGTTTCC